GCTGCCTTGATAATTACCGTAACTAGCCAAGCACATTTGAAATCCTTACCTAATTGATCCAGGATCTCAAGCGGTGGCAGAGTATTAAGACTGCCTTTCCATCACTCAAGATAAAATAACATTTTGGAATATCTGGGAACCATACTTGACTTGAAGATATTTTTCTGTGTTAGGACCCTCCAATCTAACCCAGCACGATCCAGTGTATGAGGCATGTAACCATACTTAGTGCTGTGTTCTCTCTGCTGCATAGTGGTCTCAGTCTCTCAAAGAAACCAGATACTACTCTCTGGGAAAGAGCAGGTTCAGCTGTTGTAAAGATGATACACAATCCTTTTGTGGTAGTCATTTGGAGTCCTGGGAAGACAGATAAAAATGTATATATGTCAAAGCAAGCAGAAATATCTCACCCTTAACATCTATTCAGAAAACCCCGACTCAGAACTATTCAGGAACTTGGAATTGTGAGACCAACACTCCTGTTTAAGAATGAGAATCTGCTTTCTTTTCAGAAATTGTCTGGAAATAAACATTTCTTGAAAATGTCTGGTAGGAGACATGCTTTTTCAATATTTACAATGTTCACAAATGTGACATTTGTTATATATTAGAACTAGACATTAGAGAGGGATAAGGAAAGATCATAATATGAAAATCTGTTAGTCCAGGAAATGGAAATGGGGAAGAGATCTGAACATCACTTATGTGGGAATGCATTTAGTTCAATGCATGTTCAGAGTTAATTTGGGTAAATCTGAAACATTCGACATAAAGCATATACCCCGCCTCTGCACTGTAAAACTGTCTTGGCTAACATGATGGTCCACCATGTGATTTGCTTCCTAATTAGTGGTAATGTCAAGACATAAAAAATGTTTGTGCAAACTGCATTTCAGATTACTGAAGACCATTGCAGACTATCAGTGAATCTGTTAACTATTCTCCTTGTAAAAGTTCGAGTCTTTTTTGTCTTCTCCTCTTCCTCCTCTTCCTTCAGTGTATTTAAATCCTGCTTTTCTTTCAAGTTGGGATTCAAGGCGGCTGACAATATTTAAAATTAGTTAAAAACAATAGTTAAAGTACACCAGAACATATTTAGAACCAGTAATTAAATTACAAGTTTGCTCTTACAGCAGCCCAGTAATCAGAATCATCTGCATAAGTTTATTAATAACCTGTTATGTGCTTCTAAAATTGTTAGCAATAAAAGAATTACCCAAAGCTTAAAGGCTGTCTGGAAAGAATGTAGCAGAAAGCTGACATGGGGGTAGGAGTAGTCATGCACAAAATGGCAAAATTATATTAGAATGCAATTAAATTAGGGTTGCCATATTTCAAAAAGTGAAAATCCAGACAGAAAAGTTTAAGTTGATGAGCCTTTTTTTGTTTTGGCTGTTTTTAGAAATTGGACGTTTCCGAGCTATTTCTGAGGCAAATCAGCAAAAATGACACTGCCAACATGGACTGCCATAAGTCCAGATTTTCCTGGACATCTAACTGATTTCCGCCCAGACACTTCTTGCGGCTGCAGTATTCCGTATATGCCTAGGGAATTCCGGATGTATGGCAACCCTAAAATAGGCTGAGTCCTGCTCACTCATTATGGACGACAATAAACAATGACAGGTTTCAATTGCTGCATTTAAAAAAGACTTCTTTTTGTTCATCACTGCTATCACTACATATAATTCATATTGTGTGTGTTTATGTATGGGTGTATATAGATAGACATAATGTCCAATTGTGGATATAATATCCAATTTCTATAGTACCATATGCATTTTTTAAAATGACCATCTTTGATTATTTAAGATAGCAGCTGAACTTATTTCTAGCCAACCTCATTGTCTTGGGGTCGATGCAATCACTTTATTTGGTAGGCAACTGTCACCAATTTATTTACCATCTAAGCATTATGAAATGGAGACGTCATGTTATTTACGCTAATAAAAAGTAATAGGTAATGAATTTCCAATTAGCAAAACAGATGGCAGCCAGTGGTATTTTAATGACACTTGTCAGGGGGGTGGGGTACTCTGCCTTCTGCTCCAGCTCTTGGAGAAGAAATGCTTTGATTATATGGAACGTTTTAGAAATAGTTTTTGGCAATGTGAGGTCTACTCCCCGTTGTACAGATCGGGTCATGCATCATTTCTAAGGGAAATTGGGACGGTTAATTTATTTCTCAGGCTGCTGTGCGGCCAGGGGGTTTGGATATCTCAAAGCTTGGTAGTGCCTGCATCCTGTGTAGCCATCTTCTAAAGGAAGCAGAAGTTTTTTGGATTCACGGGAAAGGGGAGGCAGCAGAGACAGTTGCTTTGCTGCAACACTTTTGCAAGAATTCCAGCTGAACACTTGCAAAAGCCTCAAGCTTTTGCAAGTACAGTGGTACATCTGGTTACGAACTTAATTCATTCCGGAGGTCCGTTCTTAATCTGAAACCGTTCTTAATCTGAGGTACCACTTTGGCTAATGGGGCCGCCCGCTGCCGCTGCACCACTGCCGTGTGATTTCTGTTCTCATCCTCAGGTAAAGTTCTTAACCCAAGGTACTACTTCCGAGTTAGCGGAGTCTGTAACCGGAGGTGTTTGTAACCCAAGGTGTTTGTAACCCAAGGTGTTTGGAACCCGAGGTCCCACTGTATTCAGACTGCCATCTTGTACTTGCAGTCCTCATGGAATTCAGTGGGGCCTATTTCAGAGTAAAGTACAGTTTCTTTGGCATGACCCTACACCAGAAATTGGGACAGCAGGGATCATTTCTGACGGTAAGGTAACTGCTGAGTATTAACAAAACTGCAGTGTCTTAAATGTCCACTATTTCTGTGCAAAGGAGGAGGATGGGGAGAGAACCAGAACAGGTGGAGACCACACAACCTTTTTCCCAGCAGAAAGGTAACTGTGACAGCAGAGAGCCCTTCTGAACCAAGGTAAGAAACTTTAGGTTCTAAGCATTTGCACAACTGGCGCTGTGGTCTAAACCACAGAGCCCAGGGCTTGCCAATCAGAAGGTCGGCGGTTCGAATCCCTGTGACGGGATGAGCTCCCGTTGCTCGGTCCCTGCTCCTGCCAACCTAGCAGTTCAAAAGCACGTCAAAGTGCAAGTAGATAAATAGGTACCGCTCCGGCGGGAAGGTAAACGGCGTTTCCGTGCTCTGCTCTGGTTCGCCAGAAGCGGCTTACTCATGCTGGCCACATGACCTGGAAGCTGTACGCTGGCTCCCTCGGCCAATAAAGCGAGATGAGCGTCACAACCCCAGAGTTGTCTGTGACTGGACCTAATGGTCAGGGGTCCCTTTACCTTTACCTTTACTGCTTAAATGTTTACTGTTTCATTTTCAAGGGAGGAAGACAAGGACCTCTTTGATTGGGTCAAATCAGCATATTATCTTACTTTTGTCCTGCGAAGGAGGGCTGGATGGCCTTGCTAGTCCCTTCTGCCCCATGTTCCCTGATTTCTAGGGTGGTGAGTGTGCTTCCAGCTCCTCTGTGATTGAGAAAGTTAGGCGAAGTGATCTGGATTCAAAGGCACCATCCTGGAGTGACCCCATCAGACCCACACAGCATTTCTAGGCACACGTAGATAATTGACTCCACCAAGAGGTTGGCAGGACTAGCAGACCATGGGGAATATCAGACACACTAAAACATATTCTGCATCTCCAAATTAAAATTAAGCCCCAGCTCAGTCAGATCCCCTTCTGCTAATCCTTTCACAAAGGCCCAGCTTTCCAATCACATCCCAGACATGAACTAACTGCTGTTAGAATAACTACCTAGATTAGTTCCATATTTACAAATAAAATCCCTTCTCCAAAGGCAATTTGACTTCTGGCCATCCTTGAGAGGCAGCCACTTCAATCAGGATTGTGCTGAAGAGGGAAATCTGTTTGCCAGGCAGAAGGGGATATCCATGACCAAAGGGGGAATGGAACACCAGGGGATTTTGAAAATTTAATCCCAGGGGTATCCTCACTCCCAGTGGTGGCTGGTGCCCCTTAAGACTGGTGGGGCAGAGGTCAGTGAGCCCAGCAGTAGGTGGAGCCAAAGCCGGTGTCAGGCAGGGCCAGAAAAATCCAATTCTGCCCCCATCATTCTTCTCCTTGCTGAGTTCTATGGAGGCACCCCTGAGCCTGGAGAAGAGAAGGAAGTGGCTTGTCTCTTAGTCTTGTTGTAAGGAAGGAGATAGGAACATGGAGGCTAGCTGAGGGCAGATTGCATTGGTATGGCAGGGAGTTCTTTGCCCTAATGGAGCAGTCTCCTGGTCCTTACTCCAGTCCCTGACTTTGATCAGGGCTGCACAAGGTTTGGTGAAGAACTTCAACTTTGTCCTAGCCTTGGTTCTGATGAAAATGACCCCTTCCCTGTAATGCACTTAGTGGTTATTTGCGTTATTAGCATCCCCCTGCCAACAAGGCTAATTGCAGCACAGCAGGCCATTTTTCCACCTCTATGTGCTGCATAGGGTGGAAAAGAGGGCAGGACTTCTCCCACCTGCACCTTTGATAGTTGCACAGAGCACGAATGGAGAGACCAGTTCATTTCTTTGGTCCCTGTCAGTTTTTGCATGGCATTGTAACTTTTTGCTCATTCATAAGTCAGCTCTGTCCTGCTTCTGCCTCAGTTGCTAATAAAGATAATAATCAGGGCTTTTTTTCATCCAGAATTCAGTTCTGGCACTTCTCAGGTGGGTGCCATTGCCATTATAAGAGAACAAGGGTGAGTTCTGACACCTCTTTCTTTAGAAAAAAAGCACTAATCATCATCATCATCATCATCATCATCATCTACAGAAGATCATGAAATATACATTTAAATATAATTTTTATCTCAACATATGCATTTCTAAATATATTTTGGTAGGATATTTTTTTTTAGCTGAGAGCTGTATTGTAAACTTTGGTGAAATCCAAAGACTAGTTCCCTTCCATTCCCTGTATTTCTAGCCTGGGAAGTGCCAGTTAGGCAGGATGCATTTTTAAGGAAACAATCTTCTCTCCCAACCCCATATTTCATATTGGGAAGGGCATCTGCTTTGCATGCAGAAGGCCCCAGCTTCAATTCCTGGCATCTCCAGGTAGGGGTAGGAGAGATGGTCTGATTTGGTATAAGGCATCTTCCTACTAGTGTTTTCTTAATTATATGTTCCCCAGGTAGTTTTGCTGACCCACTGAATAAGTGTTTTAAGAAACAAAATTGTGACTATTGAGCGTACACATGTAAGTGGGCACACATGGAGATGAATGGACTGGGGCACAGATCCCCTTCCTTTCCTCTCCAGAATGCTAAATGGGTTTGAGCTACCACTGTTCTCTACCAAGTAGAATGTGATCCATTGTGAGATTAGATGCTCCTGTGCTTTTTGAACATAGGGAGCTGCCTTACACAGTCAGATCTTTGGTCCACCTGGCTCAGTACTGTCAGCACAGACCAGTAGTGAGCCTCCAGGGATTTAGAGAGGGGGCATTCCCAGGCCTTCCTGGAGATGCCATGGGGATTGAACCTAGGACCTTCTGCATGCAGGGCGGATGCTGTACTACTGAGCTACAGCCTTGGGAAGTCAAGCAGAGTGGACAGTTCATTGTATGGCAAGTAAGCTAGGAAAGCCTTCAGCAGCATGTTGGGGTCTGTGTCGGACAGCGCTCCTTGCCACGCTCACGGCTGTTTGGAGGGATTTTCAGCTTTGCTTCCAATTTTGTCGAGCTGCTTTCATATACCTGTGATATTTGCAAGGCAAACAAGGACGTAGTTCTACACCTCTGCCAGGCTTCATTTCCAATGCTAATTGGCTGAACTAAGCCAAGCTTTCAGTTTCACAGAGCACACTATAATTTGTGATTTGAATATATATAAAGCAATAAAAACTGGTGTGCACATTCAGAACATATTTCTCTACTTCACGTTGAGGAGTCACCAGTTTTTGAGCAGTGGTGGCTCATGCCTACTGTGACTGGCAGGGCAGAAGGCATGGAGCTCAAACAAGAAATTGTGCTACTTGACGCAAAGGTGAATACAGCATCCCCACCAATTCGATCTACTGAAACAAATTGGACTGGTAGTTGAGTCTTGCTTCACTTGTGGCCACTCTGCATCTTCCATTACACTGAGGGTAGCATAGGAGGTGCAGAATATGTTCTGTTTCCCCCCTGCTCTGTTCTCTGCCCCCTTGCCACTGCTGCCTGCCTCCCTAGAATCTGCCACCTGAAGCAGCTGCTTCACACTGCCTGATGGTGAGACAGGGTCTTCCTCAAGCTCATTCCCTGGCATCTACAGGTAGGGCTGGGGAAATCCCTTTTCTGAAACCCTGGAGAGCAGCTAGATGGACTACTGTTCTATCTCAGTATAAGGCAACTTCTTATATTTGAACAATGCTCTGCTTCAGGAGTGCTGAAACATCAGGAGATCCTGTTTTAGCATGTTAGACTAGAGCATTCATCGCATTTAGTTAACAAATGGCGCTTGGGGGAATGCAGTATCACATGTGGCGGTGATTACCTGCTATCTTGCATCAACAGGCTGATAAACTGTTATCATTAAATTATGCTCTCTTGGATTCAAGGCCATACATCAAGCTGGTATAAAATCCATTGCAAGCCTATCAGAGTGCTCAGCTAATGGGGGGGAAAGCCTTGTTATCTTTTGCTAGAACTTGGCCAGGGCATCTATCTGTCAATTATCTCCAACTCCCTTGTAATGGAATTGGCCTAATATGAAATGGCAAAGATTCACAGGAGGTAATGGCAAAGTTCCTGATCCTCTTTTATACCCCATGTGTTCCGGGGGTGGGAGTAGAATTTAAGAAATGGGTACATAGCACTGTTATGTGTGAGGGTAAACAAAAGTTTAGATATGTTTGTGCTTCTAAAAATCTGTTTCAACAAGTTCAGTTGAAATAATAAAATCATAGAATTGTAGAGTTGAAAGAAATCTCCAAGGCAAGGGCCATCTAATCCAACCACCTACAATGCAGGAATCTCAGCTAAAGAGACCCTGATGGATGGCCATATAACCTTTGTTGAAAAACCTCTAGTGAGTCCACTACTTTCTGAGGTGGTCTGTTAGACTGTTGAACAACTCTTACCATCAGAAAGTTTCTCCTACTGTTAGATCAGAATTTCCCTTCTTGTCATTTGAGCCCCTTAGTTTAGGTCCTACCCTCTGGAGCAGCAGAAAAGAAGCCTGCTCCATCTTCCATGTGACGGTCCTCCAGATATTTCATGATGACTCTCATATCACCTCTCCATCTTCTCTTCTCCAGTCTAAGATTCACCAAGATTCACTAACTAAACGCTGTCCACTCTGCATACTAGAGGGTTTCAATAGTTAATTGGGCTCTGCTATCCCAACATGCCAACGAGAAGGATGTTTCTTCCATAGCAGAGGAAATTGGACCCCAGGTAAGGAGAGGACCATCATACTCTCTCTGTCCTTTGTGTTCCCCCTATTCCCCTAACTGCCATTGATAACCCCCCTTTCTCAAAGGTAAGGAGGGGTGTGTGTGTGTGTGTGTGTGTGTGTGTGTGTGACAGCCTCTTTTTATAGCTCCAAAAGACTCCAATTTTTCTCTGAGCATTAGGATAAAACGTTTGCTGGAATCAAGTGAAGGCAAGTCAAGGAGAGTTTGCACATCACCAGCCAAAGCATTTGCTGGGATTTTGGAGCCAAAACTAGAGGTGTGAATGGGTACCTAGCTAAACACCAGTGCTGCTGCCCCTTTGAGCCATTCCAAGTTTGACAGGATGGGGAGGAGAGTGATTGCTCATCTGCCCATGATCTAGGCTCTTTGTTAAATCTTTAGACAAACTTTGCATCTTGGATTATGCTTAAAAGACAGAACAGAAAGCCCCTTGATGTTTTTTATCTTATCATGCTATTCAGTAAGAAGCATTTACACTGGTATCACCACACCCGCCCTGTCCTCCTGCAAACTATCATCTATAGCAAATCTTTAACTCTGACAATGCTACTTAGCAGATAACCTTTCTTTTCCTGCATTTTGTTTCCAAAAAAAATCAATGAACAAAAATATCAAATGTTGTGCCGTTTCCACCCTCTTAAATGCCTTATTTTCAGACACCTTGTTTGTGCTATGATAGACCCCTAATGTGCAAGTGTTGTTTTTTGAAAATCCATCTTATGCAGGTCCTACAATATTGTCGCGTCTGTAACTAGTTCTCTGCTCACCTCTCCTTTTGCAGATATTAATTTTTTGTTTATAGGAAAATCTATAGAGTTTGAATTATCAAAAGCCCGCTTCCCTGGTGGGGAAAGGCACAAAATCAATACTGAGATATTGCCTTATTTAATGGTTGTTGTGAATAGCTCTGTTGTGATGCTTTCAGAGAAGTGAATTAGGAAAGCTTTACGGAGAGTTTAGTTAACAGCGCCGGTCAGTACCTGCCTTGTGTTCTAGCTGCAGACATCTCTGGCCCGTCTTGTCGGAGATTAGAAGAGAACATGTTACAGGTGTCCCAATTTACCAATATGTCAGGTAACTCTCCTGGATTTTGGAGGCGGCAGCGTGAGCAGATCATGTTTGCACACAAGTTTTGCGTGATGTGCAAAACTATAGTTCTGATGAGGAAATAAACGATTTCCCCTGCAGCCTTGTGGCTAAGATTGACTGACGTGCAAGACCTGAGCTGAATGTAGACCTCACTTTTCACTGACAAAGAAGATATGCATCCAGAAGAATCATGTGGTGGTTAATTTTTTCCTATTGGCGTCACTTTAGTTTGGGCTGAGGAGCTTGAATGCTCCCTACCACCAACCCTCCACTTCCTTGCACAGAGAAAATGAATATGACAGAAGATGGGTTCAGTATCTTGGCCCTTTTCATGAGAGGCTACATCTCTATGTTCAGGAAATAGTAGTGGTGGTAGTAGATTTCTTACCTGTGCTTCACCACCAGGTCCCAGAGTGGGTTACAACAGTTTAAAATTCAGTATTAAAAACAATTAAGACAAGCTAAAGGGCTGTCACACGGAAGAGGGAGCAAGCTCATTTTCAGCTGCTCCCGAGGGGAGGTCCCAAATCAATGGGTTCAAATTGCAAGAAAAGAGAGTCTGATTAACATTAGGAAGAACTTTCTGATGGTAAGAGCTGTTTGACAGTGGAATGGACTACCTGGGAAGATGGTGGGCTGCCCTTTGTTGGAGGGAAGAAGGTGGTCTCTTAGATATTTGAACAAGCCATAGGTGGAAATAGACACTCCTTACAGGGGCCACTTAGGCCTCAACTGACAATGTCGGATCCAGGTGTAATCCTGGGACCTAAGCTATGATCCTGCTCCTGGCAGGGGAGGCAATCTTCCCACCATCTGGACTTCTCATGATTCTGTTTGCATTTCTTTAGACCAGGCTTCCTCAACCTCGGCCCCCCAGATGTTTTGAGACTAGAATTCCCAGCATCCCTGACCACTGGTCCTGCTAGCTAGGGATCATGGGAGTTGTAGGCCAAAAACATCTGGAGGGCCAAGGTTGAGGAAGCCTGGTTTACACATCTGTATTCAGGGATATTGTAGTGAGTGATACATATATATAATGAGAGAGGACCATGCAATATAAAAGCAAGAGAAGAAAGAAAACACTTGCTGAGCACTAGTCCACACTATTCCATAGTCCACATGGAGAGTCAGTTTCGTGTAGTGGTTGGAGTGTTGGACTAGGACCTGAAAGACCAGGGTTTAAATCCTCACTCGGCCATGAAGCTCACTGGGTGACCTTGGGTCAGTTACTGCCTCTTAGTCTAGCCTACCTCACAGGGTGGTTGCAAGGATAAAATTAAGAGGAAGATGGATCAAATACACAACCTTGAATTTTTCAAAGGCAGTGTGGTATAGTGATTAGAGTGGCAGACTAGGACCTGGATGACCAGGGTTAAAATCCCTGCTTGGCCATGAAAGTCACCAAATGACCTTGGCCAGTTATCAGCCTAACCTACAGGGGTGTTGTGGGGATGAGATGAGCAATGGGAGAACCATGCATGTTGCCTTGAGCTCCATGGAGAAAAATGTGAGCAATAAATGCAAAAAATAGTAGTAATAATAATGATGACTACAGCAGTAACCAATTAGAGTTACTGGTTTAGTCAAGATGACATTCTGACTCCACACTCCCATCATCAGAATTGGAGTTTCCTTTCTAATTCCTATCCTAGCACACATGATTGATATACGGAGGAGTACTGTCCAAGGCATTTGTTGTTGTTTAGTCGTGTCCGACTCTTCGTGACCCCATGGACCAGAGCACGCCAGGCACTCCTGTCTTCCACTGCCTCCCGCAGTTTGGTCAAACTCATGTTAGTATCTTCAAGAACACTGTCCAACCATCTTGTCCTCTGTCGTCCCTTTCTCCTTGTGCCCTCCATCTTTCCCAACATCAGGGTATTTTCCAGGGAGTCTTCTCTTCTCATGAGGTGGCCAAAGTCTTGGAGCCTCAGCTTCAGGATTTGTCCTTCCAGTGAGCATTCAGGGCTGATTTCCTTAAGAATGGATACGTTTGATCTTCTTGCAGTCCATGGGACTCTCAAGAGCCTCCTCCAGCACCATAA